AAGACTGGAAACCATAAAAATCATAGAAGAATCGATACGCAGCAAAATATCAGACATATGTCATAGCAATATGTTTACAGATACAGCTCCTAGGAGAATGGAAGCTAAGTAGAAAATAAACAAATGGGACTACATCAAAATAAAAAGCTTCTGTACAGCAAAAGAAACCATCAACAAAACAGAAAGCCTACTGCATGGGAGAACATATTTGCGAATATTATCTCATATAAGCGTTTAATCTCCAAAATTTATAGGGAACTCATACAACTTAATAAAAGGAAGATAAACAATCCAATAAAAAAATGACCAAAGGCCTAAATAGATACTTTCGAAAGAGAACATACAGAAGGCCTAGAGACATATGAAAAATGTTCAAAGTCACTAATCATCTGAAAGATGCAAATTGAAACAACAATGGGGTACCACCTCACACCTGTCAGAATGGCTATCATCAACAAATCAAGAAGTAACAAGTGCTAGTGAGGATGTGGAGAAAAAGGAATCCTCATGCACTGCTGGTAGGAATGCAGATTGGTGCAGCCAGTGGGGAAAACAGTATGTAGTTTCCTCAAAAAATTAAAAATGGAACTTCCATTTGACCTAGTAATCCCCCTTGTAGAAATATATCCCAAGAAATCAGAAACACCAGTCGGAAAGGATATATGCACCCCCATGTTCATAGCAGCACAATTTACAATAGCTAAGATTTGAAAACAGCCTAAGTGCCCATCAGCAGATGAGTGGATTAGAAAACTGTGGTACATCTACACAATGGAATACTATGCTACTGTAAAAAAGAAGGAATTCTTTCCATTTGCAACAGCATGGATGGAACTGGAGAGCATTATGCTAAGCAAAATAAGCCAGTCAGAGAAAGATAAATAACACATGATCTCACTTCTTTATGGAATATAATGAACAACATAAACTGATGAACAAAAATAGAACCAGAGACATAGAAGCATGCAACAGACTGTCCAACCTATGAGGGAAGGTGGGGGATGAGGAGGTAAATATCAACCAAAGGACTTAAATGCATCCGTGTGAGCATAACCAATGGACACAGACAGTAGGGGGTGAGGGCATGTGCTGGAGGGTGGGAGCGGCTGGAGAGAGTTCAATGGGGGAAAAAGGAGACTCATGTAATACTTTAAACAATAAAGAATTCAAATTAAAAAAAACACAATGGCAGGTTTCAACAGTAGACTAGAAAGATAGGAAACAAGTGGTTTTTAAACAATAGCATGAATTGTCAGGGTAGGGAACATTAAATTTTAAATTTAAACTATAGACAGCATGGAGGGACCTGGAGAGTATTATGGTAAGCAAAATAAGCCAGTTAGAAAAAGACATGTATAACATGATCTCTCTCACGTGGAATCTAAAGAATAAGATAGATCCAGAGACACAGAAGCATGCAACAGACTGAGGCATCTCAGAGGGAAATCATTGGGTGGGGGTGGGAGGTTGGAAGAGATTAACCAAAGAATTTATAAGCATACTAGAGGCCTGGTCCACAAAATTTGTGCATGGGGGCGGGGGGGGGGTCCTTCAGCCCGGCCTGCACCCTCTCCAATCCAGAACCCTTTGGGGGGTGTCCGACTCGCAATCTGGAACCACTGGCTCCTAACCACTTGCGGGATGGGGCCTAAACCAGCAGTCGGACATCCCTCTTGCAAGCCAGGACCGCTGGCTTCTAACCACTTGCCTGCCTATACGCTTGTTCGCTGCCGAACTGCTCCCCTGCCAGCCTGATGGCCCCCAACTGCCCTCCCCTGCTGGCTGATCACCCCTAACCGCCTCTGCCTCAGCCCACACCACCGTGGCTTTGTCCAGAAGGAAGTCAGATGGTAGGAAGACGTCTGGTCTCCTGGTCTAATTAGCATATTACCCTTTTATTAGTATAGATATGCATAATCCATGGGCACAGACAATAGTGTTATGAAGACCTGGGGTGGGAGGGCAGGGGCAGGCAAGAAGGGGTCAATGGGGGGGAAAAGGTCCATCTGTATTAGTTTCAACAATAAAGATAAATTTAAAAAATTAAAAATTTAAACTATGGGATGATTCTTGAAACTGAAAACAGAATGTTTTGGGGAAAAGGAACACTTATACAGCATGATTTTTACTTTTATGGCTTTATCTTCTTTTTAAAGTTTCCTTGAGATCTAGGAAAAAGATTTTACTATTAACTTGCTGAAATATGAGTTTTGGGTGTTTTGGTATAAAAGTTGGATTTGAGGATATACTCAGTTTATGATTTTTCTAAAACTGAAATCAAATTTTGTGAATTTTTTCTATTTCACAATTGGACACATTTTGAAACCATTATGCCAAGAGCCCAGGTAAAATGTTCCTTTCCATTTCCTGTATTTGTCTAGAAACTTTATGGTGAGCTCGCAATAATATATCTAGTATGACAACCAGGAATCAAATTTATCTCATGAAAGTATAAAACTGATAGCTCCCATTCTCATGAGTGATGAAGCAATTAACTTTAACAAAGGCTCATAACTACACATCAAAAGAAACTTTAACTCTCTTACAATAAGGTAAAAGATTTTCATGAGCAAATTTTTCTGATTGAATCTTATTTTGGGGGAACTGGCTTTTGTTTTAAAGTTAGAAACAACATTTGAAAGCTTCAAATTTTCAAACAATCAACTTACTATAAAGCTGTTAAGCCCTGGTTGGTGTGGCTCAGTTGGTTCGAGTGTTGTTCCATACACTGAAAGGTGGCAGGTTTAATTCCTGGTCAGGGATGAGTACAGAAGGCAAATTAGCACTCTCTCTCGCTCTCTCGCTCTCTCGCTCTCTCTCTCTCTCTCTCTCTCTCAAGTCAACAAATACAAAAATAAAAACATATCCTTGGGTGAGGAGTACAAAAACTACTAAAACATCCAGTAAGTATAACTGCTAAAGGGTCTAGTCTCTGATAAACTTTATAATACTAATTAAATTACTCTATTTGATATTAATAGCTTCTTTCTTATCAAGTACTAAGATCATAACCAAAAAATAAAATAATTTTGGAATTTGTTCTAAAATCAGTCTCTAGAATTTTCATTGGGTTAATATATAACAATCTGTAGATACAATGACTATATAACCATAAAGTAATAACATTAAAACTTCATTCACAAAACTAAGGCAAGAAAATACAACAGACCACTGCCATCCATGACATTAATGAGAAACCCTTGCATGCCTAAATATGGCTCTGGTTGTAATCTAACTTGGAAAGTAATTATCTATTTCTAAAGTTTGCCTAAGGAATTTTCACAATCAATTAAAACTACACTAGGGGCCCGGTGCACGAAATTCATGCACTGGGTGCGTGTGGGGGGGAGTGTCCCTCAGCCCAGCCTGCCCCCTCTCACATTACTGGGAGCCCTCAGGCATTGACCCCCATCACCCTCCAATCGCAGGATCGGCCCCTTGCCCAGGCCTGACGCCTCTGACAGAGGTGTCAGGCCTGGGCAGGGGACCCTCATTCCCCCCATCAACTGGTTCTGCCCCCATCCCAGGCCTGATGCCTCTGGCCCAGGCATCAGGCCTGGGCAGGGGACCCCCAGACCCCTCCGATTGCTGGCTCTGCCCCTTGCTCAGGCCTGATGCCTCGGCCAGAGGCGTAGATCCCCATCACCCTCTGATCACCTGATCGGCCCCTTGCCCAGGCCTGACACCTCCGCCAGAGGTGTCAGGCTTAGACAGGGGACCCCCTTCTCCCTCCGATCACTGGCTCTGGTCCCCGTCCAGGCCTGAGGCCTCTGGCCCAGGAATCATGCCCGGGCAGGGGACCCCCATCTCCCTCTGATCACTTGCTCCACTCCCTTCCCAAGCCTGACGCCTCTGATCCAGGCTTCAGGCCTGGGCAAGGGGACCATCATATCCTCCCAACCCCCGGCTCCGCCCCCCACCCACG